CCTTTCCTTTCCTTTCCTTTCCTTTCCTTTCCTTTCCTTTCCTTTCCTTTCCTTTCCTTTCCTTTCCTTTCCTTTCCTTTCCTTTCCTTTCCTTTTCTAAACCATCATGCATGTTAAACTAAAGGTTTATGGAAGGTCATCTCCATAGGAACTTCTGATGCAGATAACTTTACAATTTGTATGTAGATAATGCAAACAGAGACTAAACTACTCTGCCCATGCACAACTCAGGTACATTAAAAAATATTATTAAAAAGTAGTTTCAGATACCACACCTGTCCTTGAAGAACTCTATTTTTTTTTCTTTTAGAGCAACTCACAAACACAAGAAGTTGTCAAAATAAACAAACGTGTTACTAGTAAAACAGTAAGATAAACAGAAGGTAATTTTTGAGACGACAGCTTCATTTCCAATAGGTTCACATATTTTCTTCTTGAAGAGTTTAGCTTTGTGGTTCAAAAACCAAAAGAGATCATTTAGGCTTCACACAGATTTCACTAAAATCAACAGAGCCTCCCCTCTGATTTTAATTGACCACAGGAAAAAAAAATCACAGATTTCAATTTCTTTGCTTTGCACAAAGAACAAAGTGCTCACCCTCTGCACATACCATTGGAGTCAGAGATGTGTTCTTGATAAGACACTTGAAAATCATTCCCACCACCCATACAGCTTCTATTGCATCTCCAAACTAAGGACTAAGACACCTATGTCCACAAACGGAAGAGGTTATATAAAAAGTTAGGAAAATAATTATTTAAATCCTTTCCTTCCAGAAGACATGTCACCCTGCAGAACTTTCTAAGTTCCCCTTTTCTCACAATTATGTTTCTTGAAGCAGGTGCAGTGATGCATCCAGGTGGTGSATATATGGGACCTGTCAATCTAAAAAAGATGGAGCCCCTGTTAAGGAAYGAGGCCTTTTGGCTCCAAAGACATCTGTGTAGTTTATTTGAACTGTCGAGTTTCCAAGTAGTCTAAATGGTTCCCAAGGGACAGCTGCTGAACTCCATTTCCCATATACACAGCCTGGACTGAGCATCCTCCCTGAAAATCCAACTCAAATCCTGCCAAGAGTATGGGACTCTTYTGTGCAGGCACACTTAGTTATATACTCAGTCCAACTCCAGTCACCTCACCTCACTATGAACTCAGGCAGGACAAACGGAGGTTGAATGTCTCAGCATTTGAAATCTACTTCCAGTCCAAGGGCTTTTCTCCTTAGAAACAATCAGGAAGGAGACTAAAGCAGAAGGGAAAATACAATATTCAAAAAAAAAAAAAAAATTACAAAGCAGAGTGAAGAAACAGAGCAAATGTTGAGATTGGTCAAAGGCATATAGGCAGCCACTCACTCTAAGGACCTCAGCTTATAACGAAAGGCAATATCAACATTTGGCAGGAGGATACCAAGGCCCATACGACTATTGTCAAGTTTGACAGTTTTTTTTTCCACTAGTTCTACATCAAAATGAGACAAAAGCAGGAAAAGAAACATCTTCATCTCATTCATTGCAAGGAACCTCCCTGGGCACATGCTGATGCCAGAGCCAAAGGGCATTAGGAAATATTTCAGTTTTCTTCCTGCCTTGTAGAATGTGGTTTTCTTCTTGCCGTTTTCTATGTAACGATCAAACTTATACTCCTGAAAACAGAAGGGAGAGACAGAGCGATGTGAGTAACATGAGCTGCTTTGTTTTGCATGATGGCAGTGTTTCTAAAATGCAGAAAAATACAGTAAAGTCAAGGAGCTGATGGCTTCTCCTTTTCAGCTGTTTCCCTTAAGTTTCATTAGCCCTCATTATCTTCCCTGAAATGCTCTTTAAATCCACTTACTTAACTTAGCCCTTTCACATCAGGCTCCTTCAACTTCCACMTCTCATCCACTGAATGTCTGGCCTGTATTGATTGTAATTAGGTTTTGACTTTGCTGCCTTGTAGCAGGGACAATAAACCCTAGTGTAAGGATGATTTTCTTATAAAGCATCATACACACGCTGTGTGGTGCATACAGTAAGCGTAAGGATAATCTGTCAAATTCTGCAAATGCCAACTAATAAATTAATGCATTGCATTTATCCTATTCTTGAGAAATACAGCAAAATCTGTCCTTCAGATTATGCAAAAAGTGGACCTGATACCTTGCAGTCAACTTTCCCTTCAGTTGGAGGTGACACTTGCTTAATTTGCCATATCTGACCTTCAAATAGGTTTGGAAGCTTTGTGCAGGAAAATTGCTAATGCATGACCATTATAAAGAATATGTGTATATATATATATATTTATACATATATTTTAAAGTAAGATTTGAAGTTGTGCTTGTGATTTAGGTTCCATAAATCAAACATCTTTCTCACGATTTTCCAATAGCAGGATCGCTATTTAGAGGTAATTCATGTTTTTGAATGAAGGAGATCTGGCAATCCTCACTCAGTCAACAGCAAATTAACCACTTATAAAATCCTCCTGCATGCTTTGAATAAAAATGACAGACACTTCTTGCTTATGGTCACTCATTAGCATTTGTCCTGCTTTGCATACATCTGTTATAGCACCAGCCATTTGGAGCTGGCTGGGAAYAAGTCAGTCAAACAGAAACCACCTCAACTGATTAAAAAAAAAAAAAAAACCCACAAACCAAAACACACAAAAAAATCCCAAATCACACACTGATACTTATCTACCCATTATATTAAAGGCTCTGAAAACTTTGCATTGAAGGTTTTGCTGTTGACGAAAACAGTGGCAGGAGAATTGACTTATGAGAACCCCTTTCACAGGGGAGTAAGCACAAGGAGGGGATATAACTTGGCGTGCTGAAGACCAGGAGCTCGTAGCTCATTTCTCTAAATAGTGGAGATTCAGGTATTCCATGAAGTGAATGAGGATATATGTGTGTTTTCACTAAGAAGTAATTTTTTTTTTTCTTTGAGCATCTCAGCCAAGAGGAAGCATGTCCTTTTTTTTCCTGGTAAGATATTACTTCCCCTTGAAGCAACACAGTAACAAATGAAAGCCCAAAATACTATCTTTTCCTTAAAAAAGAAGATTCTTTTTTTTTTGAAATGTAAATCCTGCTGATCTAAAAAAACTCTGCTAAATATGAACTACAGTAGCTTAAAAAAAAATGAGCTCTTCACTTCACTGGAACACTTCCAAAAGGTGCATTCCTGGTGTCTGGAGCTGCTAAGGACTTCGATATGGTACACATGCTGGACCAAACCTTATGCTTTCTTGGATTCTTCTGAGCCATCTGAAAGCTGAAATTGATTTTTTTTTTTTAAATGTGCTGTCTAAGAACTTGAAAAGCAGAAAAAAAAAAGAGTATGACACAAGAATGGAGTCAGTTATAGCAGTCATATCAAACTCATGCTTTTGTTATCAAAACTGGTAAAAGCTGGTATTTTTTATTTAGCCAGGAACCCGTTCAAAAAAAAAAAAAAAAAAACTAAACAAAACAAAACACAAAAAACCCCAAACACTTATTTCTGACAACAAAGGAAGTTTCAAACATGGACAGAGGTCTCTGTGGAAAGCAGAGGGTGGATAGTGGTGGAGAAAAGGCGAAGGCACTGAAGGAGGAACAGGAGGCAAAGCTCTGTGTGGCTCGCCTGAGTGTTATGAAAATCAAGCAGTCTCATGTAACTGGTATAAATCTTCCTTTGTCACATGTTGTATTCAGCTTTATTTGGGAAAMTGCCACGTAGGGTTTCCTGCACAGATAACTCATGTTATGAGAACTGCAGAATTCACTTACTGAGTTCTGCAAATTTAATTGGATTTACAGGTTCACTTTCCCACTTTAATGAAAGTAGACTTTTTTAAGGTTTTGAGTAGAGAAAGAGGTCACCAATATCTGCTTGCACTCGTAAAATACGATGCCAGAGCGGAAGATAGCTTGAACTTAAATTTATGTACCCAGGAGAAAAGCATTGCTACAAAATTATCTCGTCAAGCTGCCTGTTTTCCCAGGAAAGTTTTCCCTAAATACATGACAAGCTCAAGACTGCACCTTTCAAAAAATTCAATCTCCATCTCTATCTGATCCTCAGTAGTTATTGTTGAAGGAACACTGCATATTTTAAGAACCAAACAGAACAGTGATTTCCCCACTTTTCGAGAGGGCCCATGTGCTGAAATCAATGTACTCTGCAATGTGTGGATTGCTCATTCACTATCAAAAAGATAAAATATATGAACTAAAGCTGTACTGTGAAAGCTGAGTACAGCTCAGCATGCTAGCTAAGATGCTAAGCAGATATATTCAAGCTATGGAAATATGCTAATGTATTCCCACAATCATAGAGTATAGAGGGAATCGGTTACCACGCTGATGCTTTTGGTCTAAGACCTAAACAAACAGATGGACTTTGACAATCAATAACGCCCTCCAAAATAAAGTGTTAAGAATAATATGAGAAAAAGCTGATTTGTTACTWGCTACTTTTTAGGAACAAAAATATTAATCAACTATTTGCCAATATATTGATCATTTTTTACAATATCAATTTTCTCAATAGCCTTATCTTCTTTGTGAGTGGGGTGCAGACAGTGGAGCCCTACTTTATGTAATTTCCATTTTTCCACACATGCCATTTTCCAATTTCCACACAGTAGCTATTGTGTTCATATCTACAACTTCTAACTCCCACACAATCCACTTCTCATCTACTCCAGTGGCAAGATGCTATCCAGCACCAAAAAGGTATTTGAATCTAGGCTTTCCTCTGCCACCCATATGCACATATTTACCTTAGATTATTGACTGAAGGAATGGCTCTAACTTGCCTTTTCTATAAACACATAAACAAGCCCAAARTACTTGCCAAAGCAGAATTATGGTCTGAAAAGCATTTTTGGTTCAAGTAACAAGTATTGAAACTAAGTAGGTATGGGAGACAGTTGCTTGCTTGGAGAGATAGGGATGRGGAATGATTCATCTATACACTCTTACCTCTTGGGCAGAGGCCACATTTAATGGCTCCATTTTATACAACCTCATTTCCTACATGGCATCTTGGACTAGGTGGGGAGAATAATCCTTTGGTGCAGACTAGGACCATCCAATCTGCATGCAGGTGGTGAACTCCTGAAGCCACATTAAGGCTGAAGCAGGGGGGATTAAATTTGAGCGTTTGATACTCATTAAGCCAAACTTTGGGGAAAAAAATTGCACGGAGATGACACAATTCAGAGCCTCAAGTCTCAGAGCTTCGCTGCGGAGCAAGAGCTTTACAGCCCCCAGTTCAACACGCTATCCTAATTGACCAAGAAAGGGTGAATCTCTATGAAGAGAGGTGAAAAAGCATACGGCTCCAGTAAGACACTGCCATTACAGGGCTTCAGAGAGTCAATGATGCTTTGGGGGCACTTAGCTAAATGGCCCACATTATTTGCTATTTAAACCACCTTCTATTATGCAGCCCTCCTTGGGTATCAAATGATCCACTGCTAAACAAAACCCACATTTAGCCTAAAGTTTATGGTAGTCAATGTGCAATTGTGAATCCCTTTGAAAGCAGTGGCAGTCGGTCTCATCACCATATTTCTCTCCTCAGGCCATGAATCCTTTGACCTATAGGGCCCTAGAAAATACAGCTGAAAGTAGGAAGATTTGTTCCACAAGAAGGAACAGCGGTGAAAAAAAAAAAGAAAAAAAGATAAACACACTATGAGAGGAGGTCTGGCTGCTGCAATGTGCCTGCAGTAGGAAGGGTAGCAATAACTGAACGTTTACCTTAGGATCCTCATAGACCTCAGGGTCCATATGCAAAATCTGCGGGTAAAGGGCTATCCAGTCTCCTCTCCTCAGACTGACTTCCTGATCCCCTTCGAGCTTGAGCACAAAATCCTCCTGGCTGATGCGGATGTTCATGGAAGAGGAGCACATCCGTAAACTCTCGTTTAGGGCACTCTCTGCGGTGAAACAAAAGCGGAGCAGGGGGGGGAAGCATCAGAAATATGGGATATGATTGGAAGTTATCCGTGGCTACAGCTGCTGAATCTCTACGGGTTTAGTAGGGCTGAGGGTTAAAAAAAAAAAAAAAAAAAAAAAAAAAAAAAAAAAAAAAAAAAAAAAAAAAAAATGAAAAAAAAACCATGAGGGGGGAATAAACAGGCCCGCCGGGCAGCGGGCGGGCAGCTGCAATCCTGAACGCTGGGATGTAATTCTCACTGATAGTTCCGAGAAATCTTGCTGGCTGTAGGCAGTACTGGATTTTGGGTGGAAAGCCATTATTCAGGCATCAYGCTGCAAACATCACAATCAAAAGACAGGACTGCTTTATGCCTTTACATGCATTTTTGAGGTTGCGAGCAAGTACCAGTCAAAGTGTCCAAGGAGCTATTTAGCTTGCCTTTCAAAAGCTGTTGGACCTAATAGCAGGACTATACTTTAGGAAGATCATTTTGCTTGCTCTGTAGTCATTCTGAGGATTTTTAAATATATTTATTTGGCTTTCAGTGAGCTATGTTGCCARATGATAATGTCTAGAATGGTCAGAGTGAATGAAAACAATTCATTATTTGCCTGGCAATTTTAGGAGAGAAAGACACTTTTAATTGACCAAGAGAAAACAAAATACAATCCTTTCAGTATTAAGAAAAGCAAGATTATTTCTGTTTCCACCATCACATCCTGGAAGGCTCCAGAAGCTGAATGTCCTTGCTTTCCCAGTGGCCTTCACCTTTTGCTCCTAGCACGACAGATTTTATGGCTAATTTCCGGCAATTTATCCTGGCAGTTTGAGGAGGAATTCCTTTGGGAATAATATGCATAATTTGCATAAATCATTCTGATAGCATGTATATCAGCATGTAGCTCCTGTCTAGGGCTGCATCTCTCACTTTGTAATCAAAACTGACTATTTTTCCACCAGCCTGTAAGGGTGCTRTTATATGTGACTTGATTCCTTCAAATCATCACTGTGAAAATGGCCTAAAATAGGTTTCATTTTCACAAAATAATCCATTTGTGTTTGTATTTATGTTTTGTGATATGGGCTAAACCTCCTCTAAGTGTTCAGCAAGGCACTGTAACCCCGGCACCAAAAGGTTAGTCTATTAGAGACAGCCACTACCCAGTGTGGATGCATCTGAAATAGATAATAACAAACGTTCTTTCACTAAAAATTAAATCTGGTGCAGCATGCATAGCAAATAAAGTGGCCCTGGATGCTTTCTTGCAGGAGGTTTTTCCTTAAGCGTGCATTTGTCTAAAGAAATGAGGCTGCGGTCAGCTCTGTGTGGCCGGCGCTGTGATTCAATGTGACGTACAGTGAGTCTGTGCATATTCTTTTGGACTGCCTTCGTTACTATAATCAGGCAGAGTCAAATCGGCTTGTTGGTGACGAAGCCAGCGACGAACTCCGGTTCCAGGATGCGGCCTCCTCCGCCGATAGCCACAAGGCACCTGACACGATAGATTTCAACTGGCAGCGCTCTGGCAACAAAACTTTCCGCCGTGCAAAGCCGGGTCCGGCCTCGGCTCCTCGGCCGGCTCCCACCTCCGAGAAAGGAAGCCCGCGGTTCCGAAATGGTAGCCAACATATGTGGCGACACCACTCGTGCAGGACGGTGGAGGAAAGTGGGAGCGGGGGGGAAGGAGAAAAGAGAAATGATGATTAAACTGCAGCTGCGAAAGAGCAGGGCCGCGGCGAGCGGCGTGAGCGCCGCGGCCCCGCTGGCAGAGCGCGGCGCCCGCGCGGATCGCGAGTGACAATCGGGCAAGCATATCTTATGCACAAGTTAATCACAATAATGGAGCACAAAGTGTGGCTTAGCGGTCAGATCGTAAATGACAAATCTGCTTTACCTTCCAGGACCAGCTCGGYGCGGAAGGCGAGCTTGGCTCTCGCTCTGAGCGATCATGCCGATAATCATTAGCTGACAAAAGTAATGAGTCGCGTGATGATCCGCGGAGGGGAATGGGGCTGCTACGGGCTCGCAGGCGGACATTAAAAAAAAGGAAAAAAATAAAAACAGGCAGCCGGCTTTCCACAAGCACTAACGCTGGAGCTATGCGTTGAGAAGAATGACAAGCGCACAATAAAAGTGCAGCCTTGCCTTGCAGTTGTCATAGTTCAGCAGACACCAGCCATCGCTGCTGACACACCAGCTGGGGAGCTTGGGAGGCCTTCCATGCTGCACCACGAGGTACAGTAAATTATCCGGCACGGTAGAGCAACATCTGTTTCTGTGCTAGTGCCGAACAAACAAGGCAATTTGAAGCATACCAAGGGATAACCAAGCAGCAAATGAACATGACCCTCATTTCCCCCGCCTTTTCTTACACACGCGAGATGCTAAACTTCACTGTGCAAGCGCTACATAAAGAAGCCCGGCTGTTGTTTGATAAGGTGTTGTCAGAGAGATTTTACATATTTTGGAGAGATAGAGAGGAAAAAAAGAGAGAGAGAGAGAGAGAGAGAGAGAGAGAGAGGAAAAAAAAAGAGAGAGAGAAAAACAGAGATATAGTATTGTTATTCTTAGAATCCTCCCACTTCTCTCTTCATTTCTCTTATACTAAAGCGAGCACTCAGCTTCCAATTCATTCTAGATTTTTTTTAAAAAAACTGTTTCAATATACTTATAAATATTCAGTCTTTAAACCCTAATTTGCTATACTTAGTTCACATGCCTTCAAGCATTTGTCTTCCAATTTCCACTGAATAAATGCGTACTAATGAGAAATAGAGCAAGCTGCTGAGGCAAAGCTGGGTGACTTGAGCCTGGCCTGCCACCAGCTTGTGATAGGCAGGCAAATTGAGTTAAAATGAAAAGTCTTGTCAGCTGAAATACAACATGGTAGCCAAACAGCAAGCTGTCAATCATCCAGCCAAAACAAGGGACTGCAGGTAATAAAAGGTCATTGTGAATCATAAGTGCATTTGGCTTTCATAGGCAAGTTAATTTTAATTAAACATGATCTTTATCTGTAAATGTTTTATAAAACTTATTGTGCATAATGGATTGTTAATTTTATACTAACACATAGCAGGTAAAAGGGTACTATAATTATTAGAGTGTATGGTAGGAAAATAGCTATTGAGTATGCAAATATTTGGGGGGGTCATTTAACCACATGCATCATGGTGTGCCAACATAAATGATAATCTAAAACAAGTTTATTTGCATCTTACTAAGAACTAAATGTAACTGCCCAGCCCATTCCAGGAAAATATACCATTTACTTCCAAACCAACCACAATTTTAATGCTTAGCATTTGTGTTAAAATTACGTCTTTTGTATTAAGCTCTTTGAGTGTTTCTACTTTTTCATCTATATGAAACGATTTTTCAAGCTGTGCGCCTYTTGCAGGAAATATATGGAATTCAGCAATGACCTGGGGCAAGAATACTTCACAGTCTAAATGAATGAACTAATATTAAACAAACGAACTAACTAATCACGCCGAGAATTAAATATACACTGAGCGTGTTTCTGCTTTATCCTTTGCATTTCCATTATAGCCATAAAACTGACAGACCATTCTCCTGTGTTTTACCATGTTAGAGCTCCACTGCGTGCCCTAATGACTAATAATGTACGTTATTCTGCTCTCACAAATAAGCATGTTTTGGTTCTGGGAAAGTCTTACACAGATAGGACAAAAAGAGTATTGCCCTAAAAATGCCATAAAGAAAAAAATAATCAGGGCCACAGTTTTGAAAGAGCCAGTATTTTTTGTGGGTCGGAAGTGTACGTTTTATTGTTGTTTTGTTTTTGTCCGTTTTTTTAAATCATATACTATACTTTGAATTTAGAGGTAACTCAGGACATGCTCTTCCCTAGACCCAAGGAATTTGACCATAATAACAACATTGCTTCTTGAGAAAGGCTTTTTAGCAATTCTTGYTTCTTCTCCAAAGCATGAGGAATCCAAAAAAAGGCTCTTGTTAGGGTAGACCAGAAAGAGGATGGAGAATCAGAGCGTTTAAAAGAGGAGAGTGAGATGACAAGGTGATAAACATATAAGAATCCCACCTGGTCTGTCTTGC